GTTATAGCAAGGTCGATTTGAGAATACTGATAAACACATTACTGTAGATCCATGCAATATTCTCAAGATGGGTCAATCCAGTCACATATTATCAATATAATATGCACCTACGTACAGATTAAGATATCACAATACCTATAGTCTATGAGACGCAACTATCTCATCTCGTACGTACTAGTCTTGATTCGTTATGACGTCCGTATTATCATAAAGTGCGACTAGGGATATTCTAGACATAGCCTTCGTCAAGAAGTAACAGTCTCATAATTTGAACATCGTAGTCCTCATCTATGTTACTGAAGCGCTATCGTCTATGGACTGAAGCTATGTTATGTTACACGAGATATAAAACATACTTCAAGGCCTTTCATTCATGATAAAATGTACAGTTACATAGGTATTTGATGCCTCTTGGGCACCTAAATACAACAATCTCCCACTTGCCCTAAGGCCAATCAAGCATTTCTCGAATGCCCATGGACCACGTATGACTCTCGTGTTTAGGCTTTCCCAAAGCCTTCGTCAACGGATCCGCGATATTGTCGTCTGTACCTATCTTGCAAATCACAACGTCCCCACGTGCAACGATTTCTCGTATGATGTGATAACGTCTAACGATGTGTTTGGTCTTCTAGTGAGACCGAGGTTCTTTCGCTTGGGCAATTGCCCCATTGTTGTCGCAAAACAACGGTATAGGGTTCTTGATGCTAGGAACCACTCCAAGCTCAGTAATAAAATTCTTGAGCCACACACCTTCCTTGGCTGCCTCAACTGCAGCCATGTACTCTGCTTCTGTAGTGGAATCAGCGGTAGTATCTTGCTTGTAACTCTTCCAGGTAACAGCTCCGCCATTCAAACAAAACACATACCCTGCCTGCGACTTGAAGTCATCTCTAACAGTTTGGAAGCTGGCATCAGTATATCCAACAATACTGAGCTCTTCTTTTCCGCCATATACCAGGAAGGCATCCTTAGTCCTACGGAAGTATTTAAGGATGTTCTTCACAGCTGTCCAATGGCTTTCGCCAGGGTTGGACTGGTATCTACTCGTGACACTCAGAGCAAAGGCGACATCAGGTCTCGTACATACCATCGCATACATGATGGATCCAATGGCCGACGCATAAGGAACATTTCTCATGCGTTCTACTTCCTCCGGAGTGGAAGCACCCTGAATCTTGGAAAGACTCGTGCCTTGGACCATAGGCAAACTTCCTCATTTCGACTCAGACATGCTCAATCTAGCGAGGACCTTGTCTATGTATGTACTTTGACTGAGACCTAACAGCTTCCGTGATCTATCCCTATAGATCCTTATGCCAAGTGCATAACTGGCATCTCCCAAGTCCTTCATAGAGAAACTCTTACTCAACCACGTTTTGACGGTGGTTAAAGTAGGAATATCGTTTCCTATGAGCAGTATGTCATCAACATACAGAGCAAGGAAGACTACAGCACTCCCACTGACCTTCTTGTATACACAAGATTCATCCGAATTTCTTTCAAAACCAAAGCCGATGACACTTTCGTGAAAGCGGATGTTCCAACTCCGTGAGGCTTGTTTCAATCCGTAGATTGATCGCTGCAACTTGCATACCTTGGTAGATTCTTCAGGAGCGCAAAACCCTTCAGGTTGTGTCATAAAGACATCCTCAAGGAGGTTTCCATTAAGGAAAGCCGTTTTGACGTCCATCTGCCAGATTTCGTAATCATGGTATGCTGCGATAGCAAGTAAGATCCGAATGGATTTAATCATGAAAACTGGAGAAAAAGTTTCGTCGTAGTCGATACCATGTATTTGACGATATCCTTTTGCTACCAATCGTGCCTTGAAGGTTTGCACCTTACCATCCATGTCAGTATTCTTTTTGAAGACCCATTTGCACCCAATGGGTTTGATCCCTTCGGGTGCATCAACCAAAGTCCATACTTGGTTGGTGTACATGGAATCCATTTCGGACTGCATGGCTTGACGCCATTCCTCAGCTTCGGGACAACTGATTGCCTCGAGGTAGGTCTCTGGCTCATCCTGGTCGATAAGCATTACGTCACCCTCAAAGGTTAGGAGGAATCCATACCTTTCAGGTTGTGTGCGTAACCGGCTAGACCTACGAGGTTCTTGTGTATCTTGAGCATTTTGAGGTACAACAGTTTGTTCCTCTAGCTCATGTTCCAGGACCGGCGCGGTAGTTTCTTCGTCGTCTCGAATTTCTTCGAGCTCTATCTTTCTCCCACTAGTTGTGTTGGAGAGAAATTCCTTCTCGAGGAAGACACCATTGCGAGCAACGAATACCTTCTTATCGATAGGGTGATAGAATGAATACCCTCGAGTTTCCTTTAGGTATCCCACGAAGAAACACTTATCAGACTTGGCGTCAAGCTTGCCATTCGTCATAAGACGTTTGACATAAGCCTCACAGCCCCAAATCTTTAAGTGTGACAGAACCAGGCATTTGCCCGTCCATAGCTGGTATGGTGTTCCTTCAACCGCCTTGGTTGGAACTCGGTTAAGAGTATATATTGCAGTGCTCAGCGCATTCCCCCAGAATGATTCTGGTAGAGTCGAATGACCCATCATAGAACGAACCATGTCAAGCAGGGTTCGATTCCTCCTTTCAAAGACACCATTCCATTGTGGAGTCCCAGGAGGTGTAAGTTGGGATAAAATCCCATGCTCTCTAAGATAGTCATCGAACTCACCACTTAAGTATTCTCCACCTTGATCGGATCGTAGTGTTTTAATACTTTTGCCAAGTTGTTTTTCAACTTCATTCCTGTATTCTTTGAACATTTCAAAGGATTCTGACTTGTGTTTCATGAGATACACATAGCCATATCTACTGAGGTCATTAGTAAAAGTGATGAAGTATGAATAACCACCTCGTGCAGTTGTATTGAAAGGCCCGCACACATCACTATGAATGAGTGCCAGAAGATCACCAGCTCTTTCACCATGTCCGGTGAAAGGAGATTTGGTCATCTTACCCAATAAACAAGATTCACATGTGTCATATGATTCAAGATCAAATGACTCCAGCATTCCCGACCGATGTAGCTTGGATATGCGTTTCTCGTTTATATGACCTAACCTACAATGCCATAGGTATGTTTGGTTCAAACCGTTCAGTTTGTTCCTCTTGGCTGATATGTTATAGACAGGCATGTCCAAGTCAAGGACGTATAACCCATTGGTCATGTTGGTATTAGCATAGAAAACATTCTTTCTGTAAACGGAAAGGGACTTGTCTTTAATAGAAATGATGAAACCACTCTTATCAAGACATGAAACAGAAATAATGTTTTCTGCTAATTGCAGGAACGTACAAGCAATCGTTTAATTCCAACATTAGACCACTAGGCAAGACTAAACTATAAGTTCCGATTGCCAAAGCTGTAACAGGTGCACCATTGCCGACTCGGAGTTCAATCTCGCCTCGAGCTAACCGTCTACTCTGCTTCAGTCCCTGCATGGTAGTATAGATATGAGACCCACATCCAGTATCTAGTACCCATGATGAAGATATAGACATGTTAACTTCTATAACATACACCTCAGAAGAAATGGTCGTATCTTCCTTCTTCTTGGTTGCGAGGTATGTCTTGCAGTTTCTTCTCCAGTGGCCTGCCTTACCACAGTGATGACATTTGCCCTTTGCAACTCCTCCTATGGGTTTCTGGGTTGCAGATGAAGTGGACTTTGATTTAGGCTTTCCGACCGTCCTAGCCTTAATCTTAATCCCCTTCTTCGACTTCCCCTTTCTGCCTTGGACCATAAGGACGGAAGCACCCTTGCCCTTAGTAAGGTTCTCCTCTGCAGTCTGGAGCATTTTAAGAAGCTTCGGAAGGGGTTTGTCAAGATCATGCATCATGTAGTTCATGACAAAACCCTTATACAGCTCAGGGAGCGACTGCATGATCAGGTCCGTTGCCAGCTCCTTCTGTAAGGAGAACCCGAGTTTCTCCAGATTGGTTATGTAACCAATCATTTTGAGAACGTGCGGACCGATCGGGTTCCCTGAAGAGAGATTGCAACTAAAGAGAGCCTTACTCACGAGAAAACGTTCATGCCTGGATTGCCCCTGGTATAGCTACCGCAAGGCCACGATAATCTCGTGGGCCTTCATGTCCTCGTGCTGTTTTTGCAGCTCGGTTATCATGGTAGCCAGCATGACACAGCTAACCTGGTTGTCATCCTTAACGTGTTTCTCGTAGGCATCTTTGACCGCTTTCGGGGCGTTAGCGGGAGGGGCAGGAGGAATGGGCTTTTCGAGCACATACTCTTTCTCATCCATGCGGAGAACAATGGAGAGATTGCGTTGCCAGTCAACAGAGTTTGTTCCGTTCAATTTATCTATATCCAGAATGGAACGCAGGGCGAGGTTGTTTGTGTTGTTGTTTGCCATCTACAGAATTTTGCGAAGATAGTTATTATCATGAATTAAGTATCTAATAGGTCTTTATTAAATACTCTCCCACTATTTCTAACATGTCAACTACCCTCAGGTACGGAACCTATTGACTTGGGGTTTCTATTTGAAGAATACCCTAGCATCTTGCCCTACAGTTAAATTATTTAGGTAGGAATTCATTCCAATTGCAATCGTTATTACAACTCTTGGTTCGGTGGATTCTTTTAAATAAAATTCTTAATTGGGCCAAATCCATATTTCATTTAACTATAGTTGTGCTTTGCATCTTGCCCTACAGTTAAATTATTTCTGGTAGGAATAAATTCCAATTGTAACAATTTACAACTCTGGTTGGATGATCTGAGTTGGGTGAGTCCGTTACCGATCTAAATTGGGTTTGACGAGTGACGGGGCGTCGGGGTGGCACAGACTTAAAATTATGAGGGATTTATAACGCAGTCTTGCCTATGGCATACACTGCGCGTATGCACTAGCGAAAATCACATACATGCATACATTCAATTATACATCACATGCATAATAAGTAAACGTGAAATGATTGTGGCTCCTAAAGAAAAACAAACGATAGCGCCTTGATCAAGAGATCTCTATCTCCGGCCCATCACGTCTTCCTTAGGATTCTCTATCACGAACGGACTTCGTCTTCTTATCTTCTTATAATTTTCGAGAGAAAAGAATATTTGAGGTAAAGAAGAGAATTACATCCAGAGTATAGAGAT